TGCTTGCCTATAATTTACCATAAATGTAAGAGGAAATCCAGCAAGGAAAGGAAGTAATTCTGGTAGTAATCTTACAATAAAGAGTATTACATTTATGCAGGTAGTGAAAGTGCAGGTGATTCTCCTCTCAGGAGAGAGGTGCTAGCATTTGTAGACCTTCCACTGTGCTATTTACACAAAGACTGCCAGTTTTACCCTGTACTCCCTCAGTGATGCTCTATTAATAATTAGAGAGCCTATGACTTTGTGATTTTTTAATATTTAATTTCCTCACCACATGTGCTCTCCCCAGCAGTCCAGCTACCCTTAGAGTTGAATTACTCTTCTTTCTCAATGCCCCTTTCCCTCCCTAGGAGGTGAAGCTATGGTTCATTATTTCAAATTCAGATTGCCTGTGCTTAATAAGCTGGTGCCTGCCTGCAAACTTTTCAGGGCTTTTTCTAAGGGAAATGACTGCGTGCCTGAGCCTTCAGGCAGGGACAGAAAGCTGCTATTGCCAAGAGCAGCAATTACTCCAGCACACACCATGAATCCAATTGGAGAGGAGTATCTCTACAGAGATGAGAGGATCACACCCTTGAACAGCTCACATCCTTCTTCATGGGACATGCCACCAAGTAAGGGTGAGAATGTGAACCTGTCTCTGGAGGAATCCCACAAACATCACTTTCTTGACCCGGTCTCTATATGCACACAGCACCAAATCAGGACAACAGAGACAAAAAAACTGATTGGAGCCCAGAGCTTATAATGCAGGTCATTGACACACACCCCTGCCCCACAGTGCAAGGAACCCGACCCTGTACCACAGAACAAAAGTAACTCCTCCCTAGGACTGCATACAGTGAGAAGGGACCCTTGTAGTTTACTTGTTCCCTGCTTTACCCCTTAGTCTGGTCCTATTTCTTCACACTGCCTTCAGGGCAGTTAGTCCAATACTGCACCAAGTCCAGCCTAATGCCTCCCTCCACAGTCCCTGTACTCCTGCCTTAGGATTTTAAGTTAAACTCAGCAGTTTCATCTCAAACTCCTCCAAAGCAACATGACAAAGCCCAGGCTCAAGCTTCAGGAAGCCATACTACCACCTCCTGCTGCTCCCCACTATCTCAGAGATGTCTTCCTCCACCAAACTGAGATACAAACCTAATTATACTTACCAACACCTCATCCTAGCCTTTCACCCACATACCTTTCTAGAGAAGAGCTCCCAAACTGCCTCTCCTGCCTCACAGAATCACCCATGTAAGGATGTGGGGGAGTGAACCGCCCCCTCACAGGTGGGCTCCTCGTTAATGGTGGCTCCGCTCTGCCAGCTGCAGAGTCACTCTGACTGCTCCCAGCCCAGGGCCTCATATGCTCCCAGCAATGTTGGTGGGCTCTCAGGGCTGAAGGAAGTGTTTGGAGTTCACAGCTTCAGGGCTGTTTACCTTGGTTGCAGGAGTAGGAAACTGGGTGTTCCCATTTGCCTGGTAGGCTGGAGGTGCCAAGGCACTGGCGTCCCACGTGCTCCGGGATAGCGGAGTACAGCCCCAGCGCCTCAGAGCAGAGCTGCCCGTGGGGCTGGGCAGGCACCAGCACTGCTGTGCAGAGCTGAGACTGAGGTGCTAAGCTGGCATTTGGTGAGGGGCACCACACACGAGAGCTCCTCTTTTCCATCTTTCACTGGATGGTGAAAGGATGGTTCTTCACACACCGTGAGGGAAATAATTTTTTACTATAGGCATGTGAAGGATATCAATATATTTGATCCAGCCTAACTAACCAAAATGTCTCCCATCACTTTTTCTAGACCCTAAGTTTCAATTAAAACAGACAAAAAAAGTTTTATTATTATGACTATAAGGAATATTTGTAACATAGTTATGAGCATGTCACAAACAGAAATAATAGGTCATAGTGTCACCCAAAAGTATAAAGCCCTAATAAGGGGAGAAGGGTTATTCTTAGTGCCTCTACAACTGAGACAGAGTGTGCTGAAAGACAGGAATACTGTAAATTATATATGATGGCAGGAGGCTCTCTTTCTATAGAGGGCAATCACTTCACTCAAAATACAAATGCATAAGCCTGTACTCATCCAGCTTCCATTTTGCACATTTAAATGCAACTGAGCTGGCAACCTTTTTGGGACTTTTCAAGCCAAGGATCAAATGCTTTTTTTTTAAATCTCTTAAAAACAATTAAACAAAAAATGCATTCGTTGAGACTGAAGGATGTAGTCTGAAAACTCCTTTGCCTCTAATCTACACAGAAAGTTCTCTTGCTTCCATTCTGCAAGGCTATATTTTTCTGCTCTATCACATAAGAATATGAAAATAGATGTTTTCCATTGCAGCCACGTATTTTGGGACCCTGGACTCCACCAATTGCTGTGCATAGATGAAAAAAATAATGCAAAATCCATTCAGACCCAGCCAGAATGAATAGTTTCCCAGAAGGCCCATTTATTAACATTAAGATTTTCCATCTATGAGATTTTACACCTTCCTAGATCTTATGAAAAGGACATGTACCTCTGAATGCATATTTCAGAGTTACAGATGTGAGGCTGCTGGTGGAGCATCAAGGACCGCCTTACACTTGATAGTTACTTTTAGTAAGGCAAATTATCTGTGTTCTCTACTGTCCCTTTCACAAATATTAGGAACTACACCCTGGATGTCAGACTCAAGACCCGACCATACATTTTCAAAAGCTTGAGTATCTTTAAGCCCAGAAGCTTTCTTAAGGACAATCTACAAGCCAAACAAAAATGACAGCATCAGATGTCACAACTCCATGTTTAAAGGCACATTCTCAGCAGAATTGGAAATAAAAGAGAAATTGATGAAGCATTCCTGTTTGCACAAATGCAGGGAGCCTGAAGCAAAGAGCTAGCTAGCTAAACACACATATTGGTGTTTGAACCTCAAGAACTCTGCAAATACATGAACATCCCCAGGTTCACTCACTTTGCTGCCTTCTGCCACACTCAAGTAAAACCACAGGTACTCAGGATACCCTGAGTATCCCTCCATGTCCCTTCTCTTCAATCTGAGAAGTCACATTGCCTCCCTCCTACAACGAAGTGCCCAATGGCAGAGGTAACAGCCACTAATCTGAAAACATAGCCAAACTCATGCAGCAGCTTGCAGCAGATCAACTGCCCTTGCTGATGCTCACTGTTTGCAGAACTTTCTCACAGCCTTCTGAATACCTTGCTGAATCTTCATTAGCAATCCCAGCTGAGACTCCAGGGAGCTTGGACTGCCATTTCCTATTCAGCTCAGTCTTGCAATGTAAGGCACTTACCTCCAAGAAACACTCAGCATCTCCAGCATGGCCTGTTTACAGTTCCTGTGAACAAGAGCTATGGAAGAACCTTGCAGGATTAGGTCCTACTTGGTAAGTTTTGCAAGAGGTTACCAGTGCTTTGCCACAGCATTGCAAAAGTAAGAAACTTTCTGAAGTTTCCAAACCCAGTATCCCAGCTCTTTTCATGAATTCTAAGTCCATCCAGAAATAAACTTACCTATGCACAGTTAATGTACCAAACAGAACAAACATAGAAAGAACAACACGTACTGCTATAAATTGAAATTGAATCACAAAGGTGTACTACAGTTTTTCCCCTAAGTATCAGTAGCCTCTAGGGATCTAGAATGTCTGTCCCATAATGAGGCTTCAATATACATTAATACACAAATTAGTCTCTTCTGAGTGATTGGAAGAGAGTGGAAGAATGGCAGCATGACACAGCCTTCCTGTACAACCTTAGTAGCATCACCTAGCTTGTCTCATCAGAGCTATAATAGCTACCAGGAATGCTGGATAACACATATATTAAAAGACTCCCTTAGAAGGTGGATGGCAAAGAGGCAGCATCTACAAAAAACTTGCAGAACTTCTACAACATTGTGTAACTAAAAAATAAGTACTTATGACTTTACCGTGGGTGCGGCAGTACATATCTGATCCTGACACCTCCAGATGGCAGGAAACTTCTTCTTTCCAAGATGCTAACAGCTATTTAATGGGCTGTTGGTATTTTAAGGACTGTTCATCACATAATACGGCTTTCGGTATATGATGCAATGACATTTGGCTGAAAGTACCTGCGTTAGAATCACAGTAGCTAGAACTAGTGATACCTTTCCTATTTGACAATACTGGCATGGCTGAAGAAAGCCCTAATCTTTACATACTCTTCTGACTGTGTTTGCTTTAGCTCCTAAATGACATTAATATAATCCATTTCCAATGGGCAGGAAGAGATCCCTCTGACACTGTCATTAGTTCGTGAGTGGCAGTGATGATTTCCAAATACCATGTCAAATGGCAACTGATGCTGCCCCTGAAGATCACAGAATACATCCCTGCTGGAGCATCTCTTCCAGGCATCTCTTCTCCACCCGACATCGAGACAACGGCTGTGCCCAGCCCCAGCTCTCTGCTTTACAAACACGGCACATTACACCTCGCAGCTCCGAATGACTGATCAAAGCATCTGTTACAAACCCAGGGCAGCTTTTCCTTCCTTCCTTTTGTCTTGCCCACAGCCCTCAGAACGAGTATCTCCACCTCCTGCATCCAGCCCTGAAAGGATAATGTGCTACAGCAAACTGCTTCTCCAAGATGCCGCAGGTAAACTAGACACACCTGTCTCCAGCCGTTATAATGAACCCAGCATTAGAAACACAGCATTAGCAACCAATACAGAGCTATGTCGTGTCCCAGGACAGAGTACTATTTTTAAAAAAAATTATCCCTACTGCCCTGCCCAGACATCGCAGATCACGCTGGTAACACCAGCATAGATCTCCTCCTCCTAGGCTTCATTCTCCCCGAACAGTTCCTGCTCCCCAGTGCTGGCTCCGGCCAGCGGGGCAGCAGCCGCTGCAGCCGCGGTGGGGGACGCTCCGCGGGCAGCGGTACCGGCTGTCCGCACCGCCGTGAAGTTTCCCCGCGACAGGAGCTGGTCTCCGTCCCCACCCTGCCGGGCGCACGGGTCTCACACTCACCTCTCCTGGCCTGCCTGATCTTGGGGCTCAGCATGCTCCCGGCTGGGCGCTGCCCGCAGCCTCAGCGCCCGGCCCCGGCCGCCGCCCCGCGCATCGCCGCCGCCGCCGCTCCAGCCCTGGCTCGGGGGCGACGCTTCACGCGGGGCTCAATAAACCCTAATGCATTATTTATCCGGCCTCGAATTAATTCCCGTCCAAAGTAGGCATGAAGTGTCTCGGTAATTACTGCCGATGGATCGGCAGCGCGCAGACACGAGGGCTGGCCCCGGCTCCTGCCGCTAATTGGCCGCGGGGCCGTGTGATCAATGTGCCGCTTCCCGGGAGCCGCGCTCAGCCCCGGCCCGAGCTGCGGCTTCCTCCGGCGGCGTGCGCTCAACAGATGCTTTGGCTCGGCAAGGATCACATCGGCAGCCGAGCCTGATTCAGCGGGATTTCCTCTGCGCGGGGAAGAAATACCAAGTGCGCTGGTCCTGAGGGCGGCGGCGTGCTAGGCCACCTGCTGCGCCCTGCATCCCTCCCGGGGAGGCATCCCGGTGGGAGCTGGGGAGCCGAGGGACAGCGACCCACTGCTCTCTGCGAGAGAGAAAAATATCTCTCGCCTGCACTGGCAGGATGGGCACAAGGGAATGTCTTCATTACATTTTACATTACATTACATTTTGTACCCATCATTTTTAATTGTACTGTTTGCTAAGCTCACCCCCACCCCTCCCTGAGAGGGAGGCAGCTCTGCAGTCGGTAATGAAGAGGAGGAAAGGACAAACGTTTATTGACATAGATTGAAACTATTAAACTATATCTATAAAATATAAATAGATAATTGGATGATAGCTGCATCTGAATAACAGACATATCCTGACCCTGGACTGCTCGTAGCTCCATCCACCTAGCAGTTTCTTCCGAGAGTGCCAAAATGGGGTAAATACTTCCCTAGCAGTGCACATGCCCTGCAGTATCACCCTGCAGGTTTGTGTTGCTGAGTTGTACTGACAAAAGGCACCTGAGATTGGCAGTTTTCTTCTCTTCCAAGATCTATCATATCATGGACATTGAATGCTGGCTATCAAGCTATATCTCCAGCACTGGAAGATGTTCTCTGGCTCTTTACAGAGGTTGTGCTTCTCAATGTGCAACTGCAGCAATGGCTAAGATGTTTTGGACCTTTAGCTACTGGTAAAACCAGTAACTTATAAGTGATTGTAAATCTTTGAGGTTACAGTGGCATAAACTCAAACTTACAACACCTGTAAGCAAGGATAGAAGTGGGATCTGACCTACTGTCTCAGTTCTGAACACACAGCCTCCTGCAGTTATCTCCCCACTAATTATCTGTTTTAGCTGGGTTTCAGCAGAGTGAGGAATAGCTAACTGATGATCCCTTAGTAAGTGTCAGCAAACTTAGCAAGTGTCCTGATACTGTGGATAAGCAGGAGGGGCATCACCAGAGGGGTGTTGCATTCCTGAGCAACCATTTAATAGAACTCTTTTTCTCTCTGTATTTTTAGCAATTCCTGTCTCTTTTGGTGCTGTTTATACATACCATTTTTCAGTTTGAGCAGGAACTCAAAAGGTGTATACAGTAAACATGACAAGGGATAAAGTTGACTGAACTTTTAACCTCATGGGAAGCATAGAGAACTTCATCCTGCTAAGTCACTTCCCATGAAAACTTGATTTCTACCCTAGGAAAAAAATTATATAATGTGAGCTATATAAGCAATTATCATTTTTATGAGTAAAATGAAAACATTCAAGCCAAATCCAACACTAAATAGTAAGATCTAAGTTTTTCCTGTTAAATAAAAAATACTCAGTGGACAGAGAAACATTCAATTTGACCCTGTTTTGCTTTGACTTAAACATTTTCAGCCCTTCTTAAAGCCATTTTAAAGTATAAACATAACTTAAATTATTTTTAAAGACAAGGAAAGTGAGGGGGTGGGGTTGGAGCTTTTTCCCTGAATTTAAATATTGGTGTAAAGTTCAGGTCTAAAATTATCAGACACTATTTGGGGGAAGTAAACTGTTTGCCAAGAAAAGAAAAACAAACCTAATTAAAACAAACAAGTCATCTGAGAGAAAAAAACCAAAACACAACAAAGCAATCACCTTCAGCAAGTGGTTCCACACTATCTGCAATGCTTTGGTCTGAAAATTTAAAGAAGTGGTTCCTTACAGAAACACTAAGAGTAGATGCAGTAGAAGGGTAGCACAAGTTTCTAGAAGGAACTGGATACTACAGGAATGTTTAATTTCTAAAGCTTTTATACTGATCAGCTTAAACTGAGGAAGAAAACTGGGACAAGTAATTTCAATGGTTTATATTTACCTTAATTCTCTTGCCTGAGCCTAACAGCTCCTTTCCATCCCAGCAGCAGAGATGTTCTCCCATGTAAACATACTCTGCAAAGATGGGAGAAAGCTGTGTTGTGGTCCTGAAGTGTATTATTAACCTTAATGGCTCTAACTCATCTCACATGGTCACTATCCACACCCTCTGCCCACAGGTCCAGGACCTCTATTTAAGCCCAGCCTTGTGTTTTATATCAAGCTTATGCTGTCTAGTAAGAATGTTAGCCTTCAGTATGTCTGTAGTGAGGTATGAATTTGGGTTATGCTCTATAGACTGGATTTTTTTTTCAGCTAGAACTTACATCTCCCTCAATACTGTGGCTCTACCTAACTGGAAGATGCTATCTGGTATTGGTAGTCTTTATTCTACATACTTCTCGCTCATAGAGCTGTGGGGTGTTTTTCTAGCTTGACTCTAGACCTGCTTCTTCATTGTTGTAAACATGTTAGATGCGCTTGTGTTCTGATTGAACCTGGCCATTTCCAATGGATGCTATGGTCCGCCCTGCTGGGCTCTCCCTCTTATCCTGAGGGAGAAAAGGGGGTTTTCTGGTTATTCTGTTCCACAGCTGGGCTCTAAGGGTTGTCCTATTTAGCAGGCTTTTCAGAGTGAGTTAGGAAACTGCTAAGCTGAAGGCAATAGGACTTTTTATGGCTGATCTGAGTTGCAAGGGGCATCCCTGAAGGCTTGGTATACCAAAGTGATAATGTGTACCAGTTGTTGCAAACCACTGCTCTCATAGTCATATCCTGCTGCTTTGTCAAACCCAGAATGAAAGTCTGCTGTAGAGCAGTAAGCATCTAGTAGGCTAGAAAACAGAAATCAATTGACTACCCACATACTGGAGAAGTGTTACTATGTGGCTCTTATGTGAATCTAAAAATAAATGTGGTCATTAATTATCTGCTGCCTTTTTGGAATGTGGAAAAACTCCTGTGTCTATCAGAAGTGTTCCCCATTGATGGATAAGCACACAAAATAGAGGCAGGTGATAGGACCTAGGGATTAGAAAGCTTAAGGAGAGTGAGGAAATGGGGTCTCTTGTCTTAATGATGGCTAATTTCCCATGGCTACAAGCAGGATATTCAATCCCAGGTCATATCCATATTAATGCAGTGTTTTGAGATCTGGGATTGGCGAGTGCTATCTAACTGCAGAGGATGGTAATGAGTTACTGCAGTGGGGACCCTCACAGAAGATATGATTCATGTGTTGGCGCCAAGGCTGATGACTGGAGGCTATGAAACACGGCGGGTGCTTGAGACGGAAGAGTGCGTGGGCCAGTGAAGTTGCAGAAGCTGTTGTGAGGCAGATTGAATGGATCTCTGTTTCCCCAGGCTGCACACACAGCATGCTGTCACCTACCAATTATCACACGGTATATCCTTTTTTCCTCCTCCTCATCTTCTGCTCCTATCTGCAGGCCAAGGACTTGTTGTAACTAGCTGACTGATAACATTTTCTTTGCTCATCAGCATGATGCACCTGGATCAAAGCCCAGGATCAAATCACCCTGGACTTTGGCCCCACTGAATCTCAAATCCAGTTTATTTAGACTGTAACCAAAATTGCAATCTGTTCTAATATGTTGTAAAATAGAATTGATGGAAAAGGGTCCAGAGAAACAAGGAAAGTCCACAGTGTGCATTTTGAGATCAATAACTGTGGCAACATTTCTTCTGCAAGGCAAGTTTGAATGGTTATGTATTCAGGAACTGTGGAATTCTGCTGAAGAAGTTTGTGCATCAATTAACAACTTTTCAAGTAACTAATAACCAGAAGGAATTTCTATTTGGTGTAGCCCTTGCTTACAGGCTGAGTGAGCACCACTTGAAATCTATTGATGCTGATGATGCCAGCTGGTTTTCCAGGTGAAAAAGGCTACTGGTCTTTCAGCTTCCAGTAACCAGTGATTTTACTGGCAGTCTTAGGGTTTATAGCAAGAAACACTCAATCCATGAAGTGAGAATTTTCCTGTTTTTCTTTGGAGATGGCCTCTCTAATACCATGTAAACTGATAATGTAGAATGGAGAAAGCTGTGTAGATGTTCTAGAGCAGCTCTGGAAACAACTGGAAGCTCAAAGGTATCTTTGAGGAAAAAAAGGTGATTCAGGAAAAACTTTAGTTTGGGGATTATTGAATGCCAAGTGTCAAAGACTGGAACAATTTCTTTGGGTTTGGCTGAAAAGTAAGAAAATGCATATGCCTAATGACATCTTGGGCTTCCCAGGGGTGATGGTTACTGCAGGAGGCAGTGAATGTGCCCAACACACCATGGCTGCCAGGAAAGGACAGAACTCTGATCTTGCAGAGCTACATTCAGGAATGGGGGCTAAGCGGGACACTAAGCAAAAATAATTTTTAATGTTTTTCAGAGTGGAACTATGGAATTTCTGGGTGTCTTTATTATTCTTTTACACTCAATGTTCCTTCCTATCTAGTCATGTCCCACAAATAGGTCAGGAGTAATTAATCTCTTATTTCAGGATATAAGAGTGACTCTCCAGAGAGCAGCTGCAGCTTGAGAAAAGCCTATGATGCAGCTGCCTTGGACTTCAGTGGGACAAGAAACTACCCTGCAGAGACATGCCTGGCACACTTTCATTTTTTTCTCCTCTGCAGTCATGAACATATACCAGGTGTACCTATACCCCCGTAAGATCTCACCTACTCCTATTGGAAATACCTTAATGTAATCCAAATTTATCCAAAAGAGTGCCCTGTAAGTAATAAAAATAGGTATTTTTCATAAGTGGACTGCAAAAACACCTTGAGCATTGTATGTTATTTTTCATAGTAGATTAAAAAAACATGGCTTGTATTTATTTTTTGTTTATTTATACTTGAAAAACATCGGAGAAGTTGATGTGTCCTCTCTGATTTTGTTATAAACAGTGATTTCTGACCATGTCAAGGTGTGCTATTCTAACAAGAAGTGAAACCTTTAACAGAAATGTTCAGCTTTTGAGAAGCTATTAGGCAGTGCAATTGAAGTGGTAAAGAAAAGGATAGACAAGTCTCAATGATCTGATAAAGATTTCCATATGTGTTTTGTGATGTACCTTCATATATTATAGGAAAGCAAGACTTGGATTATGAGTGCAAGAACTTTCTTAAGAGCAGTAAGTGTCTTATAAATCCAGATATTCTAAATTTCATAATCAGGAAGAAAAAGTATGCTTACAGTTTTTAATTTTTTTTATATTTTCTGTTTTGTCTTTGTGGTATTATCCTTATTATACCAGT